CGAAAGTCGCCGGACCCCTTTCTTTCCCGTCCGCCACCCACTACTCTCAAACGTTTTCTTTCTCTCTCGCGCGCTGGACAAGCCAGCTCAGCTCGACTGTCTTCTCCTTCTCCTTTTTTTTCCTCTCGTCTTCTTTTCGCTTCTCGCGTGCACAGGCTCGCCGTGAGCTGTACCTGTACACACACTCGCGCGTTGGTGGGTGGGAGAAGACAGCCGAGGAGTACAGAGCTTAAAAAGAGGCAGAGGACGCTGTTAAAAAACAGTTGATGGGGTCTCCAAAAATCAAAGGATTGGAAGCCAAGTACCATACGCAGGTGGGATGTGGAGCAAGGAAAGACGATTTAACTTGAGTTGCAATAGCAAAATCCCATCTATGAGCGAGTAAGGACACTCGATGCACATCACTTTCAAATTAAATTCTTACAGACAGGGTTCCCTACATTGCTTCTTTGTTGCCTGAAACTAAGATCGTACGGATACTTGTTGAATTGTTGGTTCTTGTGATTCCAGTCGATACAAATTTTTTCAGGATTCGGTAATTGTGTATAATGAGAACCAACACCCACTGGCATTTCAGAACTTGTGGGGATGGAACATCTCAACTTTGGCCTTTTTTTATTTCAAAGAGCAACAGCCAAGAAAAATTTGAATCGGAGGAAAAACGTATGCCCCCCGAGGACGTTTTATACAATAATGCACACACATGTGCGTACGAGGTCGGAAGGGGCGGTCCATTACGAGTTTTAAGCTGCTTTCCGAGACCCCCCGTGCGCCGAAACTAGCTCGTCCACACAATATATACATACAATATGCGCATACGAGAATAAAGTCTCCTCTGCTCTGTACTTATTCTTCTGGACCTGATTTTTATTTTCCTCGGTCCAAATGGATGTGTAAAAATACACACCGAAGTGTACACGTGTATATACATGAACGTGTACCATATATATATATATATATATATATATATATACAAATACATAGGACAAACTACAAATAATACTAGAGA